AAGATACTTACATCAATGCATGGCACCTACCATAAAGCATGGGGGAGGTAGTGTGATGGTTTTGGGTGTTTTTATGCTCATGCAAAAGGAGATAGTTGGAATAATGAACCAGCGCAAGTACCATCAGATACTGATCCGTCATGGTATACACTGTGGTTTGTGTATTATTGGTAAAGGATTTTACTACCAAGATGATAATGACCCCAAACATTCATCAACATATACAGAAATTAGTTAGCTAACTAACAAAGAAAGCTTCATCTATTGATCAGTAGTTTGTGTTACTATACACCAAAAAATAAGACTGTTTGATTTTTTACCGATCAGGCATCGCGGTAGTGTGTTCTGCGGCCAAAATAGCCTGCAGGACACACTGTGTATTATTAACAGAAGTGATAGCTTAGCAATTTTACATTTTCTGTAGCTCGGACTCCAAATCATCATATCTTTTCAGTGGATATGCACTGCTGGACCCTAACTTTACATACAAAATTTTACGGCAGTCCATTAAGACATACACGACATATAAAATCTCCAATTGTGATTGAATTTTTTCTTTTTTTTTCTTAACACGAAAAGTATGTAAACTTTATTTGATAGTTTGGTCTGGTTTGTTTTGAATTTCGCGCAAAGATACACGAGGGCTATCTGCGCTAGCCGTCCCTAATTTAGCGGTGTAAGACTAGAGGGAAGGCAGCTAGTCATCACCACCCACCGCCAACTCTTGAGCTACTCTTTTACCAACGAATAGTGGGATTGACTGTCACATTATAACGCACGCACGGCTGAAAGGGCGAGCATGTTTGGTGTGACGGAGATTCGAACCCACGACCCTCAGATTGCGAGTCGAGCTCCCTAACCACCTTGCCATGCCGGGCTTATTTGATAGAAAAACATTTAACTTTTCTGATTTTTTTTCAAATTTGATTTACAGATAGATTTTACAACCTAGAATTAGATGTCAACTTTGATCTAAATATGAGCCACGTGTGCAAAGTCATTCAACAAAAAACGCTCAAATTTGACCAAAATATTTGCGCACGCTGATGCAAAAAAAAAAAAAATCACGTGAGCTATTGGTCAGACATTTTTACTGCAGCTTCACCTAAGAGTAATAGTGACCATTTTTAGATTTTTGTCATTCGGGTTAAAGACGGCTCATTTAGAGCAGCAAAACTATAGGGTAATAATGGCTGGAGACGGCTTGAATGGGTAATGAAGAAAAACTTTAATATGTACAACGTTTCGACAAGGTTTTGTCATCGAATTTAGGATGAAATCACGTGCAGATACGTAAGTATTGGTTAGGCCAAGCAAACTAGATTATCAGTTTCTAGGTTAAGTTTTCAAAGGAATCACACGGATGAACGGTTATTATTCGTTGCCAACTTTTAAGCACAAATTTGTTAAATTTTATGAAATTCTCCTAATATAAGAGCGTTTAACGTCACGTGATATTAGCGTAAGCAATTAGCGTAAATACTTGATACAGCTTTACCGAGTGATGACAAGAAACTATTAATTTAGTTTTCATGGCGTTACTATAAAGGAAGCTGTTAACACTGATAAAAAACTACCGCCATATATTTTAAATAATCTGGTTGGTTCTGTAAAGTATAGGTCTGTTCCGAATAATAGGGTTGCAATCCTAAAGCTAATGTTGGTTACTTTCTGTGGTTTGTTGGTGTGTATTGGTAAAAAGTCACGATATCTAATCAAAAACACCTTAGATGTGAAAAAAAGGTGCGGCCAAAGAAGGATTCAGCGTGCGATTTACAGGAATGAAATTCTACCCACCGTCATGCCCCAAGTTGAACAAAATACGCGGCTTAGCTAACTAATGAATGAATATTTGCTGTAAAATTTCTTATCAATGCTGTAAGTGTAGCTACCAGTTTGGCCGCCAATTTTGATTTTATTCCTTTAAGTCTCAAAATCAATCCTTTTTGGCCGCACCTTTTTTTCACAGCTATGATGTTTTTTATTAGATGTTTTCTTACTGGCCTCGAGCTTGAGTAAGGATGTACATTATGCTAATATAATAATATTGTTACGTGTCTGGTCGTTTGTTAATTTCCCATAAAAAATCCTCCCGAAAAACTTCAGCGATACAAGTCCTTTCTTAAATAAAACTAGTTTATTCTTTCTCAATACAACTTTGCAATACACTTAATTTCCACAATCAATTTAACTTAAACACACGCTATAATTCACAACGAACGATTCACGCACTTACTTACTTACTACCGCGCTTGACTCAATTGTCCATCTCTGACTGTCTGCAATTATATCTCGATTCATTGTCTGGCGCACTTATATACAAGAATACCGCACATCTAGCAAACACTCGAGCATCCACGAACCTTCGAGAATATCATGACGTGTTACTAGAATCACGTGACTTCCGCCGTCGTAACAACATGTAGGCAAACAATGCTTTATAAGTATAAGGAAAAGCTTTATTGATGGTGGAACATAGTACACGTTTCGACACAACACTGGTCTGTCTTGTTTAAATACGATCAGTACTAAGTAATCCAAGGTTTATATAACGTTACAAAGACAATAGGAATTAAATGTGACAGAAATTGTGTCCGCGGGTGACAGGATATAGGTAGAGGTCAAGTGTAAGAACATTGAATAAACCTTGCCAAATACCACAGCTGATGTTGCTGGGGGCCATTATCACGGTTTAGTGAGAGGTCGTTTGATTTGATGATTTCTATGATATTGGGCTTGTATTAAACTTCACCTTTCACCAACCAACAACACAAAACACAACACATTTATTTCATTCCCTTTCGTACCAGAAATTGCTAGACATTTTAATAATTTGAGCATTGATGTAAAAACTTTATTCAAACCCACACATCAAATTAACATCTCACTACTCAACCCGAAATAACCCCTATTAAAAGAATAACAATAGGGCATATACAGTATCCCATGTGAATGTGGAAATAAATACATAGGAGAAACGTCATGTTCATTAGAAACAAGACGCGAAGAACACAAAGATCACTGATCTGCCTTAACATATCATCAATATGAAACAATTTACTAAACACTTTGGAACGAAATTCTTCTCCTACACCAACCCAAAACTATAAAAGAAAGATACTTTTTAGAAACTATAGAAGTTATAAAAACAAATAAACTTTCATTAAACCGTGATAATGGCCACAGCAACCTCACACACCGTTCATACACTTGACCAGACTTGACCTCTACCTATATCCTGTCACCCGCTGACACCATTTCCGTCATATTTAATTCCTATTGTCTTTGTAACGATATATAAACCTTGGATTACTTAGTACTGATCGTATCTAAAGAAGACAGACCAGTGTTCTGTTGAAACGTGTACTATGTTCCACCATCAATAAAACTTTCCTTATGCTTATGAATCATTGTTTGCCTTCTTATTATTGGCCCCATACTATTTTCTGTGTTGTATTCACAGGTGACCCGATGAACGGTCACGTTAGCCCTGCCATGAGCCGTCCAAGGTGCGCGGTCGAGATGCTGTTATATGTTTCTCTTATTGGAAACACGTAACATAGGGCAAGTGGGGATGTAATGTCACACAAACAACCTACAAAATATAATATGCTTTTATCAGCTTTTTTATTTCAAAATTATCTGTATCTGTTTTATTTCCTGTCAGTTTTACCTTAGATAACAACATTTGTCTGCGGATTTACGACGCTAAAAACCGGATTTCGATACTCGTGGTGGGCACAGCACAGATAGCCCGTGGCTTAGCCCTGCGCTTGACTACAAACAAACACTTATCCTTTGTCTTATATAGACTTAGACAACATTCATTCGAACATTTTAGATGATTTATATATATAGCAACAATTAAATACTTTTCCTTATTGTAACCACTCGCACCACTATACAGTAGTGTGTTGTCTGTCTGTCAGTCAGTAGACACTAAAATGACGTTATAATTTGCACTGTCGTGACGTAAGTAAGACGCGAGCATGCCATGAATCACAAGAATTATGCTCTCTGTACGCTACAACACAGCATGATAGATGAACTTCAAAAGCAAGAAATAAAAATATCTGTTACACTTAATTTTTATTTTATTTACTCTTGAAAGAGAACACAATCGGGCACCTTGCGGAAGTACATCTAGTTATAATAGCTTATCTATTATTCCAGAATGTTCGGAGATTGCTATCAAGAAAACACAATTAGAACAATCATTGAATTACTAAATTCGTTTATTTATTGGTTGTAAAGTACAAGGTTACACAATGGGCTGTCTATGCTCTATCCAACCGTGGGTGTCGAAACCCGATTTTTAGCTTTATAAGTCCAGAACCACCAGGGGACGAATGCAAAAATGATATATAACATGGTTCACTAAGTTCCCAGAATATATTTAGATATCGACAATTTCTCATCAAAGAAAGTTAATTGTTTTCTGACAAAAAGATGACTTTATTATGTTTCAATGTTCACACAATAGGTGCTTTGTAATTATGTTTAGTTAAAATAATCAATACTACAATCAGCATTGGGCTATTCAGGTGTTTTTCATATGAGCTTCGGGCAATGAAAATAAAAACAATTTTGTTTTTGAGAGCAAAACCTCATTGGGCTATCTGCTGTATCTATCTCTGGGCATCGACCCCCGAATTTTAGCGTTGTAAGTTCGTACACTAATAGTTGCCCACCGGGGGACAAAAAAGGCATTTTAAGTAAATTTAGTATGAAAAGTTTAGTAATAACGCTATCCTTCAGTGGGACAGCGGTAAGCTTACGGACTGATAACTCTAAAATCCGAGGTTCGATTCTCCGCGGGAGACACAGCAGATAGCTCAATATGGCTTTGCTATAAAGCAAATAAATAAACAGTAATTACATGTATTGAACATATGATATCCACACCAAGAAAAAATATAATCAAGATTATGATTTATTAAATCAAAAGAGCATAAGAGAGAAAAAGAAAAATGAAATTAAAAACTTAGTTAAAATAACAAGTTGATTCGTTGATTCGTGTGTAAATACAACATTAAGATTATACAGTCGGTAGAGGTTCTAACTCTTGCTGTTCGACAACGGCATCGGCTTTCTTGTCATTTCTTTTAATTCCAGATCCGTGTAGTCTGTACAAAAAACAAATATATATAGAACAAACTTAAAGTCTGAAATATTCTGGTTTTTTTAGTTAGTTTACGAAGTCAAGATA